TGAGGGAATCTGCGGCAGAAGGCGGTCTCGGAGATATCATTAAGATTATTTGTCACTGATTGATCAAGTAATCTTTTAATTATTAAACAATAAATATATGCCTTAACAACACTATTCATTTTATATAGTAACAGAATATTAGCATCACACTATAAAGCTAGTGGAGGTAACAGTATTCCAGCTGAGCTATTCAAAATCTTAAAAGACGATGCAGTAAAAGTACTACACTCAATTTGCCAGCAAATTTGGAAAACTCAACAATGGCCACAGGATTGGAAAAGGTCAGTTTACATTCCAATTCCAAAGAAAGGCAATGCCAAAGAATGTTCAAACTATCGCACCATTGCACTCATTTCACATGCTAGTAAAGTTATGCTTAAAATCCTACAAGCTAGACTCCAGCAGTATGTGGATCGAGAACTACCAGAAGTACAGGCAGGATTTCAAAGAGGCAGAGGAACTAGAGATCAAATTGCCAACATACGCTGGATCATGGAGAAAGCTAGGGAGTTCCAGAAAAACATCTACTTCTGCTTCACTGACTATGCTAAAGCCTTTGATTATGTGGATCACAACAAATTGTGGCAAGTTCTTAAAGAGATGGGAGTACCAGACCATCTTATTTGTCTCTTGAGAAACCTATATGTGGATCAAGAAGCAACAGTGAGAACTGGACACGGAACCACTGATTGGTTCAAAATTGGGAAATGAGTCCGGCAAGGCTGTATACTGTCGCCCTGCCTATTTAACTTATATGCAGAGCACATCATGAGAAAGGCAGGGTAGATGAATCAAAAGTTGAAATTAAGATTGCTGGGAGAAATATCAACAACCTAAGATATGCAGATGATACCACTCTAATGGCAGAAAGTGAAGAGGAACTAAAGAGCCTCTTGATGCGGGTGAAGAAGGAGAGTGAAAAAGTTGGCTCGAAACTCAACATTAAGAAAACCAAAATCATGGCATCCGGTCCTCTCAATTCCTGGCAAATAGATGGGCAAGAAATGGAGGTAGTGACAGATTTTATTTTCCTGGGCTCCAAGATCATCTCAGATGGGGACTGCAGCCAAGAAATTAAAAGAAGCTTGCTCCTGGGGAGGAAAGCTATGGCAAATCTGGACAGCATACTAAAAAGCAGAGACATCACCCTGCCAACAAAAGTGCATATAGTCAAGGCCATGACTTTCCCAGTTGCAATGTATGGATGTGAAAGTTGGACCATAAGAAAGGCTGAACGACAAAGAATTGAGGCCTTAGAACTATGGTGCTGGAGAAGACTCCTGTAAGTCCCTTGGACTGCAAGGCGTTCAAACCGGTCAGTCCTAGAAGAGATCAACCCCAACTGCTCTTTAGAAAGCCAGATCCTGAAGTTGAAACTCAAATACTTTGGCCACCTAATAAGAATGAAGGACTCACTGGAGGAGGGCCTAATGCTGGGAAAGATTGAGGGCAATAGAAGAAGGGGACGACAGAGAATGAGGTGGCTGGATGGAGTCACTGAAACAGTAGGTATGAACTTAAATGGACTCCAGAAGATGGTAGAGGACAGGAAGACCTGGACGAACGTTGTCCATGGGGTTGCGATGGGTCGGACACGACTTCACAATTGAAATAATAACTATTGGGTTTGCACGTATCTGGATTGTGTTCTCATTTTAACCAATTCTGCCTCTGGGATATTTTTGTTTCCACTTGAGAAATTAGTACTTATGCAAATGCTTTGCAATGAGGGGAGGTACCTTCCAATCAGTTTTGATTCCTGGCAATTGCCTGGACAGGTCTCTGCAGTTTTCTTGGCAAGATTTCTGAAGTAGTTTGCTATTGGCTGCTTCCTAGAGCTGAGAGAAAGTGACTGGCTCAAAGTTAATGCCTAAGGAATGAATAGAAGTCACATTTTCCCAGCTTCTAGTCTGGAGTCTTAACCACTACAGCAAACTGGTTCTCTGAACTAATAACATATCTAATAAAAGGGACTCTTGTCTAATTAAAATAGGGAAGCATAAACAAAACAATAAATAAGTATTAAAACTAGTGGTGATAAAATGAATTTTATTGTAGTACAGTACATGTGAGAATTTTGAGTATTCTCTACTATTGCAACAATTGTAGAAAGAAATCCTTTACTTTCTTTAAAATAAAATTAAAATGTTCCATTATCAAAGTCTTCACTGTATTTCTGAAGACCTGTGCTGTAAGCTAATTGTGAATAATTTAGTATCATCTTACATGGCTACTGAGAAGTAAGTCCTAGTTAATTTTTTGTTTCTGAAAAAATATGTAGAGGATTGCAGTATAATGCCATCTTATTACTAACACAAATTTGGAAATAAGCTGATTTGTATATGTATTGACTACATAATAATGGTCTTTAGTGACTTGGAATACAATTTGTAAAGAAATACTTTGTGTTGGATTTATCTATATACCTATAGCATGAGTATAAAAATAAGCATGAAGAATTTCTTGTTATACTTAGAATTCCAGCTTTAAACAACTTTGTCTATAGCAGTGGTTCTCAACCTTTTTAGTGCCGTGACCCCCAACCGGTCGTAAGTCGAGGACTAAACCGGTCGTAAGCTGAGGACTAAACCGGTCGTAAGTCGAGGACTAAACCGGTCGTAAGTCGAGGGCTAAACCGGTCGTAAGTCGAGGACTACCCAACCAGTCGTAAGTCGAGGGCTTTCCCTGCCCGGGAGCGCCGTGCATGTGTGGTTCCACCCCCTGCGCCGGCTAAAGCGTAGCTGGCAAGCGGCAGAGACGGAGCAGGCCGACCACCAGCTGGCCCAGCTCAAGGGAGGTAAGGCACCCGCCGGAAAAGGGGAAAAAAATAGGTTGAGAACCGCTGGTCTATAGAATATTCTGTTTTACTGATTAATGAAAAAGCAGTATTTATGATCTATGTAACTGGCTAGGAAACTGTGGAAAATACATTTTGAAATGCTGCTGCAGAGAAAATAAAGTAATACATAGAAATTAGAGCTTAAAGGATCTTCTAGGATCAGTATATATGTGACATTATAAGAGTACGAACCTTAGCACATACAGGATAGACATGCTATTAATGGCATGAATGGTGCTGATGTCATCAATATCCAAGTGCTTAACACTACTCAGAATAAAATAATTAGAACTCAGAGGAAGAGACTATTAGATTTAACAAAGCAACCATTTAATGTTTGTTACAGAATCATTACTTTTATTTCATGGGAAGCTAAAATGTATAGTTAGTAAACAGACTTTAGCTGGCCTCTGTTAAAATCTGTAGGTGGCATAACACACATATAGTAGAAAAATACTTTTAAGACTTCATTAAATTTTAATTTATTTTAATGGAAATTTAATTATATTAAAATATGTTTTGGTAAATGCATATAGCTATTTCTGGTAATAAACTATAGCATATTGGGAGAATGTATTATTTTAAATAATTAATAAATAATATCCTTTGACTTTCTCATAATATACACAAGCCTCTGACTGAAGATTTTTAAAAACTGGATGGACCACAAGTGTTTAATAGGCAAAGTAATCAAAAGTTTAGGCCTGTCTATAAATGCAAAACAGTTCATCAAGAAATATTATAAATGAAGCTCATCGTATTTTGAATATTGTAAGATTAGTTAGAAGAATTTATTACAAATATAAACATTAACAATCTTCTGTTTAAAGTATTTTAGATGATCATAATGATTGGATTTATTTCATTTATTCTTTGCTTGACTTATCCAATCATTAGGCCATCTTTTGTTAACTTTCCTTGATGCATGATGTTTAAACAAATGTCAAATTTCTTCAATTGGAAGATTATGGCAATTAATAATGTGGACATACAGCATTCAGAACATAAACTAAAGGCATGATAGCCCATTACCAATGAGTAAATCCAAATGAAATGATTGGTGCTTAAGCTTGAAATGACATGACTGATTTTTTTCTATACGTTTTCCAGATCTTTCATATATCCAGACAGACAGACACACACACACACACACACAACACACACACACACACACATCTATATACATACCAATATATAACAATGGCTTTTTGAGTACTCTTGTGTTACATCAAGAGCTAATTAATGAATGGAGCATAAAGCTACATGCTACTTAGTTGGGATTTGTTAAGTAGAATGAGAGTAACCTGAAAAACAAAACTGAGCCATGCTAATGAAAATAACTATTTTAATTATGCATATATCTATGTAAAAATTAATTGCATACATGCTCAAATATAATTTGATAAATTATCTACCTATTTGATCATAAAATAAAGAGAGAAGATACAAATGTACATTTACATTCAGAAGCATTACTGTATCACATTTTAAGTCTATTTGGACTTGGACTTTGGACATATTTGGAAATGGGGAATGACTATTAGCAGATTTTGAAATATTTTAAAAGTAGAAAGAAGTAAATTAAAGAATCATAATCAGGATCAGGGCATAACATTGACTGAAAGAAGTTTGATTAAACTTATCTCTGCATCAAACACAGATGGAAACTGCTGCCCACAGCAAAAAGGTTAAAATAGTTAATAAGATATGAAGCATATCAGCAATGAGTATATATTAAAGAACTGTGGAGGAGGAATACTTTTTACTAATGAAAGTTTAATATAATCTTCTCTTTTTTTCCAATTCCACTATTCCATTAAGAGTCATTAGGAATATATATTTTCTGGGTAATAGAGAGTTTATTTAGCATATGGAAGAATGAAATATTTCAAGGTATATATTTGCTTAACATTTCTACACCATTTGAAAGTGTTCTGCCTTAGTCTTAATTGATATTTCATAGATTATTCTATTGCATTTATTATTTGAAGATCTGCTAACTCAAACTGATCTATATGCCCAGTATCTAGGAATAACCTGCATGTTTAAGATTTAGTCTGCATATAGATCTTCAATGTTTATATCAGCTGTTAATACAAATTTAGCTGACCCAATGACAATAGGGAAATATTGCCTTGAATTTCAATGTTTAACACTTTGGTCCATTTCTGAAACATGCATTATGCATACTATTGCATCCTCAAAGGCACAAAGATGGAGTTCAGAAATATCTGATAGAGCCTCACCTTCTTTTAATTGTGATATCTCAATTATAGATCAGTACTTTATGATTTAGAGTTAAGTCTTAGCTGTACTTCGGATGAGGAAGGGGTAGAAAAAATGTACGTATATTCCTTCCTAACAGAATGAAGGCTGTTAGATATTATAGCTAGATGATTCTCAACCAAAGAGCAACAGTATTCCCCAAATTGACTCATACAACTTGCAGGCCTAAATATAAGTGGAAAACGGCTTAACCAGTAAGTTATTACTAGGATTGAGAGCTGGAAAAGGTAATACCAATAATAAAATTTAACAACTCAGCCAGGAAGTTAAGCTTATCTTCAGTAAACGCTCTGTAAAGAGAAGAATTCTGGAAAATGCAGAGAACTTATCTTTCCAGCATTTATTCCAAATCAAAGTTATGACTTTTATTCTTCTTCCAAACTCTGAATACTTGTTTTCAGGAAATTAATGTGTAAAGTTTGGAGAGTGAATATAACACCAGAAATTAAAGTCTATATCTTGAGGGCTGTTTCTGCTAGCTCATATGTTTTAGAAAGACAGGAGTTTGATTTTGCAATCTGGTTCTACAACTGACTCATCTGAAGGAGAAAGTTTTGTTTCCATGCATAGACTGGACTTCTATAATTTTTCTTTAACCTATCACTCACCCATTAATGAAAACAACTGTAATTGTTTGCTTTTAAGTTAAATTCTTACACATATCACTTATATGCAGTTTTGCTTATAAGTGTGTGCTTAACAAAAGATACAGTCTTTTGATTTTATTACATAAAACCAGAAGGAAATGTTTCCCATTATGAAAAGAAAAATGTAATGAATTAGAGAAAAAAATTGGAAAACATGATCAATGGAATGGTTATTATCAATTAGAATAAAATAGAAAAGTTGTCATTAAATTGGGTTTCTTAGAAATTTTAATTACCACAACTCTAAAAAATTGGTTTTAATTTGGTTTTATTCGGTGGGGTGTGTGGGTTTGTCTTTGTTTTTAAAAATGTTGTGAGCCGCCCTGAGTCCTTCGGGAGAAGGGCGGGATACAAATTGAATAAAATGAAAATAAAATGAAATTACTACAGTTCTAATGTTGGCAATCAGCAGTATAGACATCAACCCTGAAATGTAAATAGTTTTAATTTAATCATAAGACACACAATAATAATGAGAGGCAAAAAGTTTGTATAAATGACACTATCTCAGATAGGAAAAAATATTATTTTATTATACTTTATTATATTATAATACACAAACTAATTAAATAGATGCACCAAATATTTGGAAATAAATATTTCCCAGATATGTAATTTTTCTACTTGCATTTTTGCAAATACATAAAGTCAATCTGCCTAGAATTTATGATTGACTATATTAATTCATTACCATAACTGTTACGGAGATCAGGAAAAATCACTGTTGTGAATTAAATAAAATAAGATTGATTTTAGCTCAGTCCTTACCATGATTATTTAGAAGTCCCACTGATTTCAGTGCAATGCTTTGAATTGCAGCTTTAGCTGGATACAGTTAAATCCCAGAGAAGCAGTTACTAGGGTTTATTATCACTTGAATGAGATTTTGTCTCAGTTACTAATGCCATCCCTCAATTTGCCTTTACTTAGTAAAATGTTTTAAAATGTGACAAATGTATGTGGGATATTGATTAAATTATAAAAATACATGATTCTCAGGATTTTATTGGATGAACTGATAAATAAATGTAAAAGTCCTAGTTAAGAATGTTATTTCATTGACATATACACTGCTACTTAAAATACCCATTACATTTAATGTTTTACTTCAAAAATAACATATTGATAATATATCAGCTATGTAAAATTCAAACTGTTTTAAATCCTGAATGGATTCTATTTTTTTGTTTATTTTCTGCCATCAAGGTCCTGGTATTGTCTTTGCAGTTCCTAGTATTATCTCCTACAAAGTCTTGGAAAAATCCTCTAATATTTTGGAGCAGTTTATGGGACTCATAGAGACGTAAAAGTATAAGCGAGTGGTAAAGACTGAATCCACTCTCATTTGGGGCATGCACAGGGAAGGATTAAAACCTGCAAGAAGGTGGGCATGATGTTGCAATTCAAGCCTTATCCTCAAGATGTGAACTATGATGCCATAATCCTGCTCCTCATCTTGTAGATTTTGACTTCCCTGATATTACTGTCTCCTGTTTCTCTCTGGTGGATCAGAATCCAGCAAATTCTGAATAGGTTAGGAAGCATTCACTCACACAGGTCCTGAACAAATTATTTTTATGGTGTACAATCACATAAATGACAGAAAGGTCATAAAATACCAACTCTATCTCAACAATGCTGACTTTTTTTCTTTTCATATTTACTTACTGTTTGAACTTTGAGGAAATCCAGTTAAGGAAGATGGACCATTCATTCCAGGTAAAAGAACTGGAGGAAGTCCAGGTAGTCCTGGGTAAGCCGCTGGCAAACCGATTCCATGAAGCGAACTGCTGTCCATCATGCCTGGCTGCTGTACTGTTAAGCCTAAAACATCTGTAGCCTTTTTAATACGATCCAATTCTTGCTGTGCCATCAGCTGTCTGACAGTTGTAGGAGCTAAGTAGTCTTTTTCCCGGTCCAGCTGACTTCCCACAGTTTCTCGCACTTTTGTTATGTGTTGTTTGGAAAATATATGGTCTCTTATGGACAAACGTGCAGAATACTTCACCCCACATAGGGAACACTCTGGTCTTGATCCATCAGTTGCATTCTGATTGATCATAAATGGCTTCCCTATGTTTATTTTGAATTTCTTTTCTTTTGCTCGCGCATTTTGAAACCAAACTTGTACCACACGTTTGGGCAGGCCAATCTCATTCCCTAGCATTTCACATTCTTGCATGGTTGGAGTCCGATAGTCACTAAAGCAAGCCTTCAAGACCTTAAGTTGTAAATTACTCATTTGTGTCCGAAATCGTTTGTGACCAGGCCGATCGCTACTTTTAGATTTAAAGGGATTGTTTGCTCCAAATGGATTAGGTGAACTTGGGTCAGCAATGCTTGATGTTTCACTGCGATCAGCATTATCATCAGGATCATCAGTAATGTAAACACTTTGGTCGTCTTTGTCACCTAAAAGGATTGATGGGCTTGTCATAGAGTATAAATGCCTATCATCAATGTTCTCCATATTAGGCATGTTTGTGTTTTTTGGCAAATTGTCATTGAGAATATTTTTTGGCTCTTTAGAAAATGATGATTTCACATCTCTTGAACAACCACTCATACTTTCAGTTTCATTGTTTCCTTCATCTCCTGTTGTAGCATCACTAATTGCTGTATTAATTGATGAAGTTTCATCAAAGTCAGTTTTACTCTGATCATAACAACTATCAACAGGAGCAGCATTCAGATTTTCAATATCTTCATTGCATTCTGCTTTGAAAGACGAAGGACTTAAAAGATTCTTCGGTGACATTTCTGCAGTTTTACTAACAGGAGTTGAGACAGTAGAAGCTAATTCATTTTCACTTGATAAATCAATTTTTGTTAAAGATGATGGATAATCAAAAAACATGTATTTTTGTGGGCTTTCTCCTCCATCTTCATTGACTATTAAAGGACTCGGTGGCAAACTATAACCTGCCTGTTTTCCTTCATTCCAGTGTCGACTGCGAATATGACTTTCTAAAGCTGATTTTGCTTTAAACAATGCTCGACAAAAAGGACATCTTTTATGAGACTGGGCTGGCCCTACTGCACGAAATTGCCCTTTTCTTTCTCGAGCTCTTGTGTTTTGAAACCAGACTTGTACTACCCTCTTTTTAAGACCTACTTCACGTGCAATATGATCTAACATTTTTCGAGTAGGATTGGAATCCAAAAGGTATTTTTCATAGAGTATTTCCAACTGCTCTGGAGTAATTGTAGTTCTCAATCGTTTATCGCGGTGCTGGTCCTCACCACTGTTTCCTCCCTCTTTTTCACTACAATTATTATCTTCCTTATCATCCAGTTTTCTTTTAAGTGAGCCAGAAACTGAAGCAGTATGGTGAGTTGTGTGAGTTGAACCTACTTGTGGTGCCATCTGGGCCAAAGAACTATTCAGCAACTGACCTGTCATCAAAGGGCTATTAGGATCAAATATCATATAGGGCATATCCATAGGCCTTTCTAAAAACTGAGAATGAAGGAATTGATTTTGTGCTGCTAAGAAATGCATGTGTTGGTGCTCCTGCCAAAGTTCTAAAGTGGGAAAGGCAACTGTACACTGGTCACATTGGTACTGCAGTAATTGAGGAGGTAGACTGTTTTGAAGAGGACCCATTGAAATTGTTAAAGGACTGGAAGGAACTGGTGTAGATTGTGATGTAGAAGGTGGTCTGCCTCCTATTTGGGATTGTTTGTGTTGCTGTGCTTGAGAAGCTGAGGGCTGTGAATCCATAGAGGATCCTGTGGAGGATGTTAGAGTAGATTGCATTAATTTGTTGCTTTGGGAGGAAGTCTCAACTTGTTTAGGTGTGGTATCATTTTGCTTTGGCTTTTCAGTTAAATCAGGTTTGGGAGAGTTTTTGTCTGGCTCGGGTTTGGGTGATGGCATCAAAGGAGTACTAGAACCAGATCCAGAGCTTGCTGTGGTTGCTATAGCCATACTTTTAGATGAATCAGATGGACCAGAAAATGTATAGTTCTTATAAAGAGTTTGATCTGTGGCATCCATCGAGTCCTCTGTTTGACTTTCATCTTGGGCATCATCATCCTCATCTTTATAACACAGTTTTTTCTGATGAGTAATTAAGTCAAAAATTCTGGGAAAAACTACACTACATTTTTTACATTGATATTGCATGTTACTAGTCCTAATGTATCTCTCATTGGTGAGTTCCCTTTTCTCATTATCTTTAGTTTCAGCTTGATTCTCATAGCTTTTTCGAGCCTTTTGCCGTGCATTTTGGAACCATACAACAATAACACGAGTAGGTAAGTTAAGTACAGTTGAAAGTTGTTCAATTTCATCATCTTTTGGATAAGCATTTGTATCAAAAAAATCTTGTAACACTCTCAACTGGTAGTCAGTAAATCTAGTTCTAGATGATCGTTTGCTTAAAGATGCATCAGATTTGTAATGTTCTAAAGAACTGGTTTGTGGTTCAATTCTTATATCTTCCAAAACTGTTATGGGAGGGTTACTAAAATTGTATGGAGAATCTTTGTTTCTCTGTCGTTCCTTAAATAAGGTATTTCGAAACCAATGTTTAATAACTTTTTGTGAAAGGCCAGATTTCTCAGCCATTTCTTGAATCTGTTCCTCGCTGGGAGAATTATTAATATCAAAATATGCTCGCAGGATTTTCAGTTGGTCATCTGTGATTCTAGTACGGGGACGCTTGAATTGAGAGTGTCGTAGAAAATTTGGATCTAATCCAAGTTGTTGCTGACAAAGCTGAGTAAGATCTGCAGATAAAGCATCCATGGGTGGTAACTGAAGGGCAAGCTGAGGAGGTAATGCTGGGTGTTGCACTGGTTGCATCATAATTGGGGGGAAAAGAGGAAGATCTAAAGATACTGGCAGCTGCACTGGTGGTGGAGCAGAAGGCGGAGGCGGTGGCGGAGGAGGTGGTGGCGGAGGCGGTGGAGGTGGTGTTGGCGGTGGAGCTTGCAGAGGAGTGGGAGTTATGCTCTGAATTTTTCCAGAGCTAGATGAAGGTTGTGAAGGAGTTACAGATGGAGCTGGAGGTGGGGGTGGTTCTGGAGAAGATGGTGAAATAGGATAAAGTTTGTCATATGCCTCCCTGTATTGACAGGAAAATTTTTCTAGTGCACCATATGGGAAGAACTGACCATGGACGTGTTCCTGATGACTCTTCAATATAAGTATGTTTGAAAATAATTTGCTACACGCTGCACATTCCAATTTGTCAGTATTTTCACAATCACTAGTTTTACTTTTCTTCTGCACCTTCTGCCTGTTCTCATTATATTGAATAACCAATTCAAAGCCAAAATTTTCTAATAAAGCTTTGGCTGCATTTCCTCTTGCCCCAGAAGCAATTCTAGGTGGTGGGATAATTGGTTCTGAAGACTTCTGCTTCTTTATTTCTTTGTTTTCTTTCAACCCTTCACTATCACTTGTGAATTCTTGCTTTGGTTTTTCTTGTTTCTCAGAAATCTCTTCAGATTCCTTAACTAAGGGCATATCCTTCACCATCTGGCATTCTGTATTTACCGCAGGATTTTGCTCTGCTTTTACCAACTTATTAGCCTGTTGCTGTTGCTGCTTTGGGGGCTGAATTTGAGGTGGTGTAATTTGATACTGTTGTGCCTGTTGCTGTAATAGCTGTAGCTGAGTTTGACCGACATGGTGCTGAACTTGCATCTGCTGTTTTAGATCTTCTAACAATGAACCTGCCATACCTGCCATTCCAGGCATACCAAAAGTGGCAGAAGCAGGTAAACCCAGATCAGGGCTCAGACTGAATTCAGTCCCTGGAATATAAAACGGAAAAAGAAACTGTGGTTGTTGAAATTGCAGCAACGCTTCTGGCGTCATAGGAAAATGAGGCAAAAAAGCAGGATTCAAGAACTGTGGCTGAAAGAAAGCTGCTTGCTGCTGCAATTCATGCTGGAGTTGCATCTGCAGTTGTGCTGGTGACTGGGGAGGATGATGTGTAGGCTGAGCAGAAATAAATTCAGAAGCCTGTTTTTTATTTAATTCTTTGGCATCTAGGTGAGTTTCTTTGCTGTTAGCTGCTGGTAAGCTCGTAGACTCTACTGATCCTTGGCTAGGGCTATTAACGCTCCCTGCTGTACTAGTTCCGCTTAATGTATTACTGTTTGGCTCTAATTTTGCAGCCCTTGCCTTAGTCTGATGCAGTACAGATCTCATGTGGATTTCCAGTGTAGAACTTTGGCTGTAAGAAACATTGCAAATGCTGCATTTATAGGGTTTGTTGTCAGTGCTGCTGTTTGCTTCTTGAGGGACAGGACTGGATGCTTCCTGCAACACTTTTTTGAGTTTATGTAAATGGGAGACTGAATTATAATGGACCAAAAGAATGTTCTTTTGTGTGAAAGATTCTTTGCACACTGTGCATTTATATGGACGAGAAGGATCTAGAAACTTTTCCATAGTAAAATTTGGCCCTTTTCTAAAAGGTAAGGTCCGCTTTGGTTCTGAGCCCATTTCATCTGGAATCGAGCTGCTGTCACTTCCTACAGGACTTGCTTTACCTTCCTGGTCCACCTCATATTCCCTTTCTATATCTTGTTCTAGTGCATGTTCCTCTTGTGCCATACTTTCATTTTCTGACCAGAGTTCACCATTTACAGGTAAAGATGTACACAGCTGCTGAATTTCAGCTTCACTGAGTTCTGGATGGCCTGTTTCCAAATGTTTTTTTAAAGCCTGGAATGTACGGAAGCTACGTTGGCAAAGGCTACACATGGTAGCAGCCCGAATAGCATGATACTGGGAATGTATCTGAAGCTTCTGCATAGTCTTAAAAGCCAAGCTACAATGGTTACAACGATATTTATAGACATGGCGATCAGAAACAGAAAGCTGCTGCCTCTTCTGCTGTTCATTCAAATGATCTGGCAGTGATTCAATTATCTTTATATCATTACTGCTGCTTTTGTTCCATTCTGGCAGTTCAGCAGATTCTTTTAGTGGCTTATTTTCCTCTATTTTAATTTCCATTCCAGTTTTTGATTCTTCAAGCCCAGGAGTATTCTTCTCCTCTGGAGGACTATCACCTGCTTACAAAAGAGAGAAAGAGAAAAAAAAAAGAATAACCCATAGATTATTTAGTAGAAAGTATCTTTGGTATGAAAATAGTGACCATTCTAAAATAGTGACCATTCAGTAATAGTTTTGCAATTGTATATCTGCATAGGTAGTATAGTATATACCAATTAAGCAATTCCCATTTTTAGTACATTGGTATGTTGTCTTTTAAAAGATACTTTGAAAACTAACTAGGTGTAGTCTGTATCCTACCTAAAGTTACAAAGAAGATGTGCATACAAATGGATGCATTCATTCCAGAGACAATAAAGGGCTCAGGCTCTGAATCATAATTCCTGAAAAAGGCAACTGTCTAATCCTTGTTGAATCAGTTGGAAAGGTAAATGTTTAGGAATCATGCTAATTAAACACCTAATTAAATCTCCCAGGGTTTCTAGCCAATGCATACAATCATAGATGTGAATGACATTTTAAAAAGTATTGCTACAGAGAAAAACTGGAATCAAACATGGATGCATGGACAGTAATAATGAGTTTATTTTCACATAGTTTTTGGAGTTTCCTAGTTACTGGGAAATTTTCTCTTTTTCTCTCATTGTTCTCCTTTCTTTTTTTCCATTAGTGTGGTCTGCCTTCTAGGTTGTAAAATATAAATAGATATTGATATATAAGTTCACACATATGTAATTAAAAGAATGAAGTGGGAATATACCAAATTCATTACAGCAACAATCTGTGGTGGATTGTTGCTGCTAGTTCAAACTTATTCAAAAACAGAAATGGGCAACTGACTTGTACAATCTTATTAATAGTTGTAAATCTAAAATCACAATAGACGGCCCTAACATAAGCAATTTAATGTTGAATATATTCAAACCTGGGTTTTTAATCTATCCCTGTCTATAACAACTTATTACACCTTTGGTTAGTTTTAATACAAAATATAGTAAAATAATACATCTGGTTTATAACTCATGGGTAGGATCTGTCATTAGAGCTGAGCAGGGATCAGCTGCAAGCAAACAAGGATTCTAAAGGTTCTGACTATTTGGATGGAATTAAAACTATGGAGAAGTTTTGCCATTTATACATGAGACTTTGGAGACAATCTATCCACAATGTCCTGGGCTGATACAATCCTACTAGAATTGTTCAGTATTGAGTTAAATGAATAAATAATAATGCTCCAGCAAACATGTTCCTAAAAATAAAGCAGACAGCTTTCCTTTATACTTGAGGAAAACAAGATTCTCTTATTTGTAGATATTTTTGTTTTTTAAAAGCACCTTTAGGTGATTATTTGATTGGCATTATTTGATTGGCATTATGAGGAATGGGCAGGAGAAATACTGAATTCACTGATTGAAAGGCCTGCCCACAAATCAGAGTGATCTTTACAATCAAACTCTCATGATTGCCAAAATATTTTAAGATGATGGAACTTGAGAATTCTTTTTTTAACCATTTTTTATAGAATTTCTAATGTTACAATTATATCTTTGAAAAACAACGTGGCGGCTGAGTTACAATAATTCAATTACATACAGATATTATTAGTACAAATCTCAAACTATTACAGCCAATATTTCCTCTCTTTTTCCCTTAATATGTACTGTCTCTTATTTAAGTTAGTATACTTCTTATTCTATTAATTAGATAAAAAACAACTTTCTTGCATTTATCCATCTTCCTGTCCAGTTTCGCATTGCTGGGGGGTCCTAAAAGGGTCGAAAAGTCACCCTGTAGAGGCGACCAGCAAGAAGGGGCTCTCGCTGGATTGCGGGAGAGCGGTAGGTCTCCCGTTAGATCCGGCATTACCCTCCAAACCAACGGATGAAAGACTGGCCATAGCAATATGGCTGGTCACTAGGCTGCAGAAAGCCAAAGTCACACTTACCACCAGGCAACTTTAAAGCAGCGTGGAAGAGACTGGGTGAGATCTACCTCTCTTAAATCCTAACTACCTTTTTCTACCTACGTAAGCTGCTAAAGTACTTTCCCCCCTGTGGAGAGGGAAGGGGGATTTTAACCCTCCTTCCAGAAACAGCGGCGACCGATTATCCAGGGGAGTTTAAAACCTTGAAAAAATAATTGGATCCCAATCGGAATTTTATTTTGTGGACTAAAAGATTTTCTACTATCTATTCTTTACTTTCTAATTTTTATTGAAGATCTGGGTTTTTCCTCATAAAATAGAAGAAAAATGGAAAAATTAAAATAACTTTGAGATTCAAGAGAATTCTTTTTTTAACCATTACCTTCACTTACTGTTTGCTATTTGTGGTTTTCCAACTATAACAATAAGTAAAGGCTGTTTTATCTACTGGATTAGTGTAAGGGTTGCATTTAGGTTTTATGCTGATCCTTGCTGAAATATCTAGCAGTTTGAGCCATCTCTTTGAAGATGGCTGTTAATCTCTGCTTTCAGCTCTTCTTTTTACACAACACACTCATAAGTATAGCTGCCTGAAGTCTGATGCAGATATTTGTCACGATGGAATCCATTTTTATGTAATTATCTTCTGCTCAAAGGTTTTGAGTTCCGTTTTTTTATATATAAAGTCAGACTTAAAGGAGTTAGTCCAAAATTATTGTACTATTTTTTAATTACCTTTGTCCCTAACTATAATGTAGATTTTCCTGTAAGAAGTAGAACTATGGCGCAGTAGCTAAAACCCTGAAGAGAAATGTCCTACAATATTGCTGTATTGCAAAACACACTTGATTTCATTAACTGGTTAAAGCAAACTGAACTTTAATTTCTGCATTATTTTCTTTGGTGCAGAGTTACTGCATTATCCAAGGTGAAGGAATGTTTTATCAAAAGACACTGATGTTTCTATTCTGCAGGTGTGGTTTTTCAATGCTATACCTGAGTATTTTCCAGATCCCTCAGTTCTCAGGTTTGTGGACATGGCATCGCAGTCAGATTTCTCTGAAGCAACTGTTGGCAGTAGCATACTGTTAGGCATCATCATATCTGGTACAGGAACCTTAGGGAGGAAAACATAATTTTGACATTGCTTATCACATATAGACAAATCATCCAGGAACTTAAAATTTAGGTCATATAAATGGCAAAAATGGTATTGGTTAAAATATTCTGAACAAAAAAGATATTTACAACCTGCACTTTCAATGAGTTGAGTGGGGGCATTTTAAGCAATTTGGGTAACCTGAAGAGACTAGAAGCATTTGAAATGTGGATTTACAGGCGGCTGTTACGTATAAGCTGGGTTCACAAGATCAGAAATGAGGAGGTGATAAGCCGCCTGGGAAAGCCAAGGGAAATCATCAAAACAATTAAAAAACGAAAATTAGAATATTACGGACATGTGATGTGACACCCAGAAAAATACGGCATACTCCATTTAATCCTCCAGGGAAAGATTGAAGGCAAACGAGGTCCAGGCAGAAGAAGAACATTGTGGCTTCAAAATCTAAAGGACTGGTTTGGACAAACTCAGCAGCACTTTTTTGTGCGGCTGCTGATAAAAACAGGATTGCCAACATGATCACCAACGTCCGATAACGGATATGGCACAAGAAGAAGAAGAAGAAAGACACTACTTTGAGGGCTCTAACAAAAGATTAATCTGTATCTCACACATCTGTGTGAGTGTGAGTGATAAGGTTTTATTTTTACCAAACTTGATAATATCTTAATTGATGTGTGTCTGACAGTTTACCTTGTTTTACCTAGGTTTTTATATAAGCCTGTCATTGAGATCCTAAAAATGTTTCATCATCCCTGAAAAATATCTTAGGGTTTCTCTAGTGCAGTGGTTCTCAACCTTTTTAATGCCGCAACCCCAACCGGTCGTAAGTCGAGGACTAAACCGGTCGTAAGTTGAGGACTAAACCGGTCGTAAGTCGAGGACTACCCAACCGGTCATAAGTCGAGGACTTTCCCTGCCCGGGAGTGCTGCGCATGCGTGGTTCCGCCCCCTGCGCCGGCCGAGGCGTAGCTGGCAAGCGGCAGAGACGGAGCAGGCCGACCACCAGCTGGCCCAGCCCAAGGGAGGTAAGGCACCCACCGGAAAAGGGGGAAAAATGGCGGACAAAAAAAATTGGCGGACAAAAAAAATGGCGGACAGCCTTTCTTGGCGACCCCCGTGAAATGGTCGATCGACCCCAAATGGGGTCCCGACCCACAGGTTGAGAACCACTGCTCTAGTGATATCTGTACTGCATTTTAGAAACATTGAAAGAGAAAATAATATGGGTGACAAAGCAGTTGTACATTCTAACACATACAGATTTGACTATATGTAATAACACTCTCTAAAATATATTTTCCACTAACATACATATATATCATACATATATCACTTGTTTTTTTTATTAGATATTCAAGGTAACTAAATAAACCATAAAGTTATGATTTTGCCCTGTATAAAAAGGACAGAGATTTTTGTGCTGCTCTTCACCATTACAAGTTCATATAAAATTGACATTAAATTTAACTGTTAGTTTCCCAGAGTCATGCATATGATATGGGTGAATGTTTAAATTAAATAAATAAATATACAAAGAATGCTTTTAGCCATCACAATACATTATAGCAAATGAAGAGGAAAAGTTTCCCTACAGGGAAAAGTTAATAGCCAATCTGCTTTAGGAAGTGCATGAAGCCACAGAGGTGAGCACCTTGATCTTGAAAGGTTGACTTTAATGAGAACTTAAGACTCCAGTGTCTTTGAAAATTAAGGTTAAGTGAATAGGCCAAAAAGATGAACTAAGTTATTGACAGAAGCAGAGATCTCAGGAGCTCCTATTCCAACTTTCTGATTCCATTTCCAGCATCTATTCATCACTGTGTACAATTAACATATATGTAAAAACATATTAACATTTTAAATACTTACTGTCATAAGCAGTTTTTCCACACAATCAGGTGACACACTGTGCAAATGAGTCAGATGCAATTGCAGATGCATTTTGTTGCTCAGGACATCTTGACAAAGGGGACAGCAGATCACAGGCTGCATAGAATGTTGTGACAAAACATGCATCTGTATACGATTTGGGTCCCTGCTATTGTAGTTACAATAAGGGCACTGGTAAAACTGAAAAAAAACCACCATAAATTCAGATTATTAGACAAATAAATTGAAAAAATGATATTACTATAGTAAATACTACATTTTCCTTCAAGAAAAAAAATGAATAATGCTTCTTCTGCTTCTTCTAGTCAACCTCTCAGGGTAACAATAATTTCTGGGAATTTATCATCATTTTCACATTTTAATGCCTTAAAAACAGTTTAATTTTACAAGAAAAAGAAGAAACATGGTGGTTTATCTGCAGCCTATTCATTAGAGAACATATGTTTGGGATTATATATAAGTAAAATTCTTGGACTTCATACCTTCAGTACACATACCCATATCTACACAATTATTATTGATCTGAACCAATCCACTACAGGATAAAACCTTCTTCAGTGAAAGTTATGGACTATAATATCATTTTATCACAATCTATCATACTGGTCTTCAGAAATGCTGCTCTATAAATTTCCAGTTATGAGACCCTGATTTTGAAGATACACTCATGGGATCAACTGGGACAGTTGCTATTGTATCAGCTGCTCTGCTGCACAGCAACTTGCTTGCCTACACTTCTAGAGCTCATTTCGGGACTGGCTATGGACTTCCCCAGGCTTATGGTTTTAGGGGCCTTCAATTAGTTGCCCCTGGGACAGACCTTGAAAACAGCCCAGGAGTTCATGGCCACCATCCCAGTCACTCATGGCCTGACTTGAAATATTAGTTGCACTCTGGACTTAGTTTTCTTGTCAGAACAGTGGCAATGTGATCTGATGGGAGAATTATCTTCAGCCTCTGTGCCATGGTCAGATCATGCTCTGGTAACCTTGAGATTCTATTATGTTACCCTATTATGCATGGAGATAGGACATGTACAGTTATCTGTGAATTAGATCCATGTCCTCTCCCCTCATAGTTAAGGCTACCCAGCATGTGACATGTGGTGGGTCCTAGCGATGGTTAATTCATCTTTGAGTAATGGGGTGTTCCTGGACAATTTAAAGAAGCACTGGTGCTCCCTATTCTCAAAAAGCTATTGCTGGGTTCCATAGTTTGGATAACTTTTGTCCAGTGTCTCACCTTCCCTTTTACTGGAAGGTGGATGAGAAGGTAGTAACACTGCAGCTCCAGAAAATCCAGGATGAGACAGATTATCTGGATCCCTTTCAGACATGTTTTAGGTTTAGAAATGGGATAGAAAAGGCATTGCTTGTTTTTTTGGCCTCTCAGTGGCCTTTGAAACTATCAACTTTGATATTCTTTTGGGTCGACTTTGGGAGCTGGAGATTAGTCCCAGCGAATGCTGATAGGGGGCAAGAGGTCCAGTCCACAGTCCGTCTTATGGATGCTACAGGGCTCAGTACTATTTATGCTCCTTTTTAGCTTCTAATCTTACCTCTGCTGGGTAAGATTATCGGTCACCATAGGTTGACCTTATCTCTGGAAAAAAATATGTATGCAGATAATAGCTGTATATCTCTGTCCCAGGTGAACTAATTGGATGCTCTTTTATGGTGCTTAGAGGCTATCAGGATCTGGGGAACAATAGGTTTCAGCTAAACTCTGTTAAGAACAAGTGGCAGTGATAGGGGACTCCTCTGTATACGGGAGTTTACCATCTCTGGTGTTAGATGTGATTGTTCTGTCCCAGACAAATCCAGTGCGTAATGTGGGGGTTCTCCTGGACTCATGACACCTGCTTCAGAAGCAGGTGGCAGTCATGTTTCAGGTCTTTGCCTGCTTTTATGTTGTGTATCAGTTATACCCTTTCTGGACTAAGAAGGCGTCTTTCAGTCACTCATGCTCTGGTCATCTCCATATAAATTATGCATTCTATATGGGGCTATCCTTGAAAAGTATCTGGAAGCTGCAGCTAGTCAGAATGCAGGCAGTTTTATGTGTGTCCTAGATTTTGCATGTAACATCTTAGCTACGTGAGCTGCATTGGCTGCCAGTTTGCTTCCAGGTCCAATTCAAGGTACTGGTTATCACCTTTAAAACCCTACAAAGCATAGTGCCAAGTTATCTGAAGAACTGTCTTGTCATAATTACATCAATCTGTTCCATCGTCAGTTCGTTCCTCTCGTACGACACCTGAGGTAGTTAGTTTCTTAAAACTACCCACCCTAGATCCTTCTCTCGGAAGATACGATAACGGGGACGGGATACCTTTAAAATGGGGGTCTCCATTCCACCTGTGGATAAGACGACCGGAAGGTTTTCTTATAGTTCTGTGACTGTGACGGTTGACCGTACCTCTAGTTTCTGTGACCTGCAATCCTGATCATGGTTTGTAGCTCTGCCTTTTTAACTTTTTAACCTATTTTTAGTCTAGTTTTTAAACTTTGTTTTAATCTATGTGTCTTTTATATAGCTGTATGGCTTTTATTTGTAAACTGCCAGTCACTTAATAGAGATGGGTAGTGTATGCTTTTGATAAATAAGTATAAATTATGGCCCATTATGTCTGGTAGACAGATTTTGTTTTTATCTTTCCAATCCAGGGCTGACAGACAACAACTGACACAAAAACCAGCCAGCTTCCATGCCTACGTATGGGCTAAAACGGGTTCTTCTTAATTTAATTAATACATAAATACACACACACACACACACACACACACACATACAGATGCACACATACAGATAAACACACACATGCATATACAGAAAATTTATATCCTGCTATATTTCAAATTCTGTATAGAGATCATCTTGAAATAAAGGTCAGCTCAGAAGCACTAATTGGCAATGTCAACTACAGAGAAAAAAGGTGCACTTTCATTCAAAATTTGGATTTTCAGAATTATTTTCCCAATAACTTTTTTCTTCCCAGGTTTTTGCTTTCTAGTTCCTTTTTAATTTTGGTTCCTAGGTAGCCAAACAAATACAGCAGTCATATACTGTAGTATTGTGATGTAATAATCTTTTGGAAATATTAGTTTCATATGATTAGTTGAAAAACATTTTATGCTAATTGCTAACTGCATAAATAAAGCCCATGAAGAATTAAAGTATTTCACTAAAATTGTTCATAAATAAAACCCTAATATAGAAATATTGTAATAATACTTTTTACCTGGTCATGACCAAACTTATTTTCTTCAGAAAATTTGGTCTTTTTGGGTGGACCATCTTCTTTAGCTGGAAGTAGTG